ACTATACCATTTTTCCTACTCTTCTCTTCTTCTACTTTAGCTTTCTCTCTCATCTCCGTTCCGACATATCTTTCTTTCTTCTCTACTAGATCTTCTTCCTTTTTTTTTCTTTAATAAATTAATGGTTCATCTTTACCAAAAAACAAGAGGAACAACTCATATATGATTTTTCGAAAACACGACACAAGAGGAAAGCACATCGAAAGAAAGAGATTGCGACGAGGACATAGAAAGAGAAATGTACAACAGAGGAGGAGGAAGAGATTACGATGACGACGGAGAAGAACGAAGACATAGTGAAATAAATAGTCATGGATTCGAGAGAGGAAAAAAAAGAGAGAAAGAGAATGATGCAAAATTAGGCGATTAGAATTTAGGGTGATGTTGGTGGAGATGCAAATTTGATTGAAGAGTGAATAGATGAATTTTCTTTTGGTCATCTTAAGTATGGTGTATGTAGGCAGAGTCATTTGCGGTGTACGGTGTGGCAGTGTAGGGATAATGTGATACCTTCCAAAGTAGTGGGCATGGCGTTTTACAGAATAGTGTGAACAACAGTGTATGAAATATTGAGCATGACAGTGGTACTGTGATGTTGTACGAAACAATATGCACGCTGGTGTTTGGTGTACGTGATTCGTGACACAAGTGTAGGTGATTTCGTGTACAACCGGTTGTATTCAGTGTACGTGATATTCAATTATATATGTACGTCCACATGTGGTTTTACTGAGTGTACGTGACGGGTGACACAAGTATAGGTGATTTCGTGTACAAGCGGTTGTATTCAGTGTATAAGATATTCAATTACATATGTACATCCACATGTGGTTTTAGTGAGTGTACATGATGTATATATGTAATTGCAAGTACATGATATGCACATACATACACCATACCTTGCAGTTGGTGTACATGATAGTGCACGTACATGGATTGGTGTACATGATAGTGTACGTATAGTATACACATAGAATCACCGTGTGTACATGGGTTGGTGTACATGATAGTGTACACATTGTCGGGCCTGAGCACAGGCCAAGTAGGCATGAGCCTTGGGCCCCCAAAATTTTCTAATTTTTGAATATTAAAAATAGGCCCCCGGAATTATTTTTTTTTGCGAAAAAACCCCCAAATTAAAAATGTATCTATAAACTCCCTAAATTTTTTTTGGCTTAGGGCCCCCTAAATCTCAGGACCGGCCCTGAGTGTACATACGTATCTTATTGATACAATTACGCGCTGTGCATACATACATAAAAAAATTATCGTATATTTCATTGTTTTTGTGTACATGGAACGC